AGATTTCAAAAAACCTGGAAATAAGGACAAATTTGGGGTTTTAAGAAAAAAAAAGTCGAATATTTTACTACAAAATAAGCAAATCCTTTTTTTTAAATATATTATTATTTAATATTATTTCAAATAAAATGTAATATACATTTCTAAGACAAAACAAGTAGATCCAGATTTGTAATGAAACCTATAAATAAATTAATATTCATTCATTTTTCATTTATTTATTTTATATATAATTAAAATTAATATTTAAATGGTAATCTTGAAATGTGCCTTTAAATAAGCACATTTTAGCACAAATGTAACATGTTATAATTAGTCTTGTTTTTCACTTTAATCCTTAAATCTTAATCTATCCGTCTATAATAATTCCTGTTCAATCTACAGAGGATACTGTATTTTGCTGCTGTGGCTTGTAAGCTGCCAAATGAACATGTTTCCGGCTTCGTCCACACATCCCAACAGGGTGGAGTCCAGATGGGCAAAGGCAAGGTCTGTGACAGCCCCGGTGAAGCCCTTCAGCAGAGAGCGCTCTGTAGAGCTCAGGTGCAGCACACGAATCATTGAATGATTGTTTGCACCTGTGGGAACCAAAAACCAGTCATTTGAATCCCATCAACCTTATATTCAAACAAGTGAGTTCAATGAGCTACAAACAAAGACAACGGTAGACTGTAATAAAGTGTGCGAACTGACCTCTGATAGCATAAGCCAAGTACGTGTTGGACACGGCTATTAAATTGCCATAGTAGTACTTGTGCTCCCAGTCATATTTGGCCACTGGCTGAATTTTAACCTGTAAGTAGGTCATGAGGACAAGGTTAAGAATAAATCAATATCCAGTGTTGTTACATATTTTCTACTATTAATTACTAAGACTTTGCCGAGTGTTTGTTTAAAAGTCTTTTTACAGAAAAAAATATTCAATATTTCACAGCTAGTTTGTCACTTCCCTTGATTCAAATAATTTCAAATGAGAAAAAAAGCAATATAAAAACTCCTTGATGTTGGCAAGTTATTCATTCCCATAAAAAAACATATGGTTTAATTTACATACCTTGTTGCTTCCACGAGCCTTACTGTCAATACTAGAGTCACGGCTGGACACAATTTCCACAATATTCGCTCTGATTGGGACACAAATGGACCCGTCATCTCCTGAAAGACAGCTGTGGCAAAAAAAAAAAAAAAAAAAAAATTTTTAATTAAAACAGAAAGAGGTCTTTTTAAACTGTAAAAATATTTCAAAATATTACTTTTAATGTATTTTTTAAACCACAGAAATGCCTTGCTGAGGATTAAACTAATTAAACATCAAATGAAAACAATGGTTTAGTAAATACGTTTAATGTATATGTACAGAGTTAATGACTCTGAGCAAAAACCTACATGGTCTGTGTGTCCTGTCCATTAAGTTTGTCTGAGTTGTGCACCGTCGGCTCCACCATTGCTGCTCCCATGAGATCGGATCCGAGAACTCCGTTCAGCTCTCCATTGAAAGATGGTTTTCTCTGGCTCTCGACCAAAGACGCTTCTGTAAAATTAAACGACAGACTAAAAACTCCTGACCAGACTCCTACTATGATGAGTTTCTAAAAAATGTGCATCACAATCTGTGCTTTAAAAAATTGTAGATTTTCCATTGTTTTTCTGTGAGTGTTATTATTAGGAATTGTAGAAAAAGCTACCTGCTCCGAACCACAATAAATTAGCTGTGCCACACTTGTAAATGACTGATTTCAGATTAGGCAGGACACAATAACCATTTTCAGGGTGTTCTACGGTTTGGAAAAAGTCAAGGTTTTTAAACTGCTGCTAGGGAAATCTGTGTTTTTGAAACTAATGAAGACAGCAGAAGTCAATGACTTATTTTCATTATCCAGCCTGACATCTTCACTGTTCCAAAATATTTTAAATGTTTCTCAAAATTAGATATATTGTGTTCAAAGGAGATTTTTTTTTTTTTACCATAATATTTATATCCAAGGTTATCATCCTGGCAGAATCTTATACCGGCCCATGCCTATTTTAGATAATCTGTTAAATCCGTTATTAAATCATCAATTTGTGAATTTGACTGATAAGACTGCACCTGCCCCTCAGTCAACGGCTCACTCATTCCAATCATTAAGTCAGAGTGAATCTAAAGCTAATGATTCAGGGAGTTCACAAATAAGATGAAAATCATATGTACATGTAGGTCACATCTGTCAGTCGTTTAACTAAATCTGCTGTAAAAAGTCAAACTGCTAATCTAAGCTGCCTAATCTATCCATCTATCATAACTCATTCAAAATGCCAAAAAATAGCAAGAACAGCAAGTAGACGAACATATAAAAACAGTGAGGACACATCCTGCCTCAATGACTTTATATTTCTATTTGTAGGTATACTTTAGTTTTTACTCAAATTTTATACTAAGATATGATATATTTTAATATATATTTTTTTACTTGTTTAGGTTATTAAAATTACAAGAAATTATAAGAAGTTCTTAGTAAAAAATTTAATTAAGGTAATAAAATTCTCTAGCAAAATATATTAAGGTTAGTCAAGGAACAAGTTTTAATACATATACATTGTTTTACTTGAAGACTTTATGCGTGTAGGAATGCAGTATCTATCCATCCATCCACCCAAAGTCATTCAACATGATAAAAAATGGCAGCTAGTAAAAAAACATATAAAAACAGTGAGAACACATCCTGCCTTGATGATTCTATATTTCTATTTGTCAGCATACTTTTGTTTTTACTCAATTTGTATTCTAAGCTATATTGTATACAAGCAATTCTATGCAAATGTTAACCTTTCTATGAAAAACAATTAAGTTCACCAAAACATGCAAATTCTTTCTACGTTTTTTGTAAAGGCGTGTATTTTACAGTACTTTAGACATACTCAAAAATGTCTCTGTCAATGTTTTCAAACAAATATATTTGATTTACTAAAGTCACACAAGTGCCAATTTCACATCTGTCACATCCAAAACGGAGAGATGTCACATCCACAAGACACTTTTTCCTCATAAATGCAAAAATGTCAAATAAAATAAAAGTCAATCATGTTTGTTCTATAGAGAGACACATTTTATCTTATTAATTATCATTATTTCTTTTGGGTTGTCCAAATGAATTCACAGAAATTCTACAAAAGTATGTTGTAGGCTGTAAATTCGCAGACATTTTTGGTCACATCCATAACGCACGTTTATTTCCCTCAAAACATGTTTACAGATTTATATTTTTCTGATCCCACAACTCTGTGGTCAGTTGTTCTGAAAAATATAAACCGATAATTAACTATAATGATAACATACACTATTTATGTAAATTTGTTTTTTTACTGCAAATGTCACATCCATAATGCTGGAATTGCTCATATATAGATTATTTTACTTGTTAATGCTATCAAATTACAATTAATTATCAGTAATTATTGTGCATAGTAATAAGTTCTTAGTGCATACTGATGAATCAAAGTAACAAAATTCTCTAGCAAAATATATTAAGGCTCGTCAAGGAACAAGTAGTTTTAATACATACATACAAATTCAAGTACTTTTGAAAAGTGTAAATGAGTAATAATTTTAGTAAATACATCTAATCTTTAATTTAACTCGAAGACTATCTACATACTAACACACTATTTTACTTATTGGGGTAAAGCTGGTTTTTATATTTGCACATTCATTTAGTGACAGCTTGTGACATTCTCCCTATATTGTTTACTATGGTACATTGAATATTCGGCTTGAAATCACATGCAAGTATGCTTTTAAAACAACATTAGCCCTCTTTATATGACTGTGAACAATGTTGTACTTTAATAGTCACTTGGCTGCTAATATGATTTCGCTATTTAGAGTTTGCAAAGAATATTTTACTAAAATTATATTAATAAAGAAATAGTCGAAATGTGCAAATATAAAACCAACTTTACCTCAATATTTTACTTGTACACCAACTTTACCTCAATATTTTACTTGTAGATGTTAAGTGTACACGAATACAGTAACTTATTTATGTATCTATCTATGTATCTATCTAACGTTATCTATCTATCTATCTATCTATCTATCTATCTATCTATCTATCTATAAGTGTGTACATACATTATATTGCATAACGTTACACAATGCTTACAAAACCCTAGCAGAAATGCACACATTAAGTTTCAGGTTTTTTTCAGTCAGTCTTTTGGGCACATCTTCGTTTAAAAACATACATTAAATATCTGTTGCCGTCACAGACATAATAAAGTGACAAAAATGAAATACTCTCAACTCTTTTATAATAATTATATTCGTGTCGCAATTAATATCCCAGACTTTCTGTCTGAGCAAAGCTGCAGCTGCGCCAAAACGACTTTAGCCCTTATGTGCTAACATTACCCTCTTCCATTTGTTAACAATGTTACACAAAACATAATGTATTTTTCAGTTATGGACTCTTATTGTCGTTGTCCCGCGGTTTGGAGCGAGTTCAGTCAGGTGGCTCGCGCTGAAATCAGGCGCTGCGCAGCATCATCGCGCCGCGGCCTAAAGCTGCTTCCCTCCCCGGCAACTTACCGGCCGAATTTCCCGGACGATCCAGTTTTAGGATGTCCCGAAGGTGCTGGGTCGCACCCTCTATGTCCATGCTGGAACTGGAAGCCATAAAGTAGGGAAGGGGGGAGTAAATCGTTGGAAACTGTCAAATGCTCAATAGTTTAATTCTGTGTCTGAGCTCGCCCCTCATAAAAGCCTGCAACCGTGCCTCCACTTCCGCCGAGCGCTCCCTGCATTTCATTCCCCCGCCTCCGCAAGCAGACTTCCTTCAGTTCCGGAGAGAATCACCTCAAAGGCACCACATCACTACTAAATTGCATTTTTAAGACTATATGATTTAAATATTACTGATATTTATACATTTTTACTTACGTATTATTGTTATAAACAATATAATTGTAATGGTTATCAAGAAAATGATAAGAACCCTAAAGAAATAACAATAACATCACACTTTACTTTGATCTCCTTTATTTCCACATAAATGTAGGCAACTGAAGTAGTCTGTTTCTTTATTCACATCGTATTACTGTTGTATTTTTGGGAAAATCAAGTATTTTGCTGTTCCTCTAAAACCTCATTTGAGAGTGGCTTTATCCAGGGTCCAGCAAACATGTTTACAACACATGAATTTGTCCAGCAAAAATATACTGTGAGAAAGTGACTGATGTTCTAGATGTGATATTTCAGTGCAAAAAGCTACGACGCAGAGGACATCTTTTTAAAATATCTGTACCATCGCTTGGCACAAAGGCCTTCATAGTTTTAGGACTATGATTTTCTAGTCCCAAGCAATGAACAAAGCTCCTTTAGTGTAAACATCTTGAAAATGAAGAGATTGTGATCTCGAAAACTAGTATTTCTGTTATGTTTTAGGCTAATGTGTTTGTGATCCTTCTTGAACGTCAGAATAAAAGCCTCAGTACTGAAGGTAATAACAGCTTTGGCCACACTACAAACCCAATGACATTTACATTCATACAAACTTATGAAGACAGCATCCATTACATTTTGAACATTTCTATGAAGGGAAATACAGGAAATTGAAACCTCAGCTAAACAGAGTGTAAATTAAAGAATTAAAGGCATAGTTCACCCAAAAATTAACATTGACTCGCTATTTACTCACCCTCAAGTTGTTTACGAGTTTATTTCTGATGAACACAAAAGAGGATATTGTGAAGAAAGCTGTACAGGTTTGAAACAAGAAAAAGTAAATACAGTGTGTGCGGCAAGTATTCACAATGCTTCACTTATTCCACATTTTTTGTGTCACAGCCTTATTCCAAAATGGATTAATGTATTTTCTCAAAATTCTGCGCATAATACCCCATAATGATAATGTGAAAATAGATTTTTGTAATTGTTACAAATTTATTAAAAATAAAAAAGCTAAGAGAGAGAGAGAGAACCTTACATAAGGACAACCATCTGTGCAGCAATCCACCAATCAGGCCTGTATGGTAGAGTGGCCAGACGGAAGCCATCCCCACCTGGAATTTGCCAAAAGGCATCTGAAGGACTCACAGACCATAAGAAACAAAATTCCCTGGTCTGATGAGACTAAACTTGAACTCTTTGGAGTGAATGCCAGGCGTTACGTTTGAAGAAAACCAGGCACCACTTATCACCAGGCTAATACCATCCCTACAGTGAAGCATGGTGGTGGCAGCATCATGCTGTTTTTGATGTTTTTCAGCAGCAGGAACTGGAAGACTAGTCAGGATAGAGGGAAAGATGAATGCAGCAATGTGAGACATTCTGAATGAAAACCTGCTTCATTCTGACATCAGACTGGGGCGGCTATTCATCTTCCAGGACAATGACCCAAAGCACATCGCCAAAATATCAATGGAGTGGATTCATAACAACTCGGTGAATGTCCTTGAGTGGCCCAACAAGAGCCCAGACCTAAATCCTATTGAACACCTCTGGAGAGATCTGAAAATGGCTGAACACCGTTGCTTCCTGTCCAACCTGATAGAGCTTGAGAGGTACTGCAAAGAGGAATAGGCAAAAATTCCCAAAGACAGGAGTGCCAAGCTTGCAGCATCATATTCAAAAAGACTTGAGGCTGTAATTGCTGCCAAGGGTGCATCAACAAAGTATTGAGCAAAGACTGTGAATACTTCTGTACATGTGAGTTTTCAGTTTTTTTTGTTTTTTTTTATAAATTTGCAACAATTTCAAAAAATCTTTTTTCACATTGTCATTATGTAGTATTGTGTGTAGAATTGGGAGGAAATAAATTAATTTAATCCATTTTGAAATAAGGCTGTAACATAAAAAAATATGGAAAAAGTGAAGAGCTATGAATACTTTCCCGATGCACTGTAATGAAAGAATTTTCATTTTTGGGTGAACTTTCCCTTTAAATCACAGGGAAGATTCATAAGGACTCATTTTCAACCATGATTCAACTGACTGATGTTTAGACTGATCGATCATTAGAAAATACTTACAATTTTTCCTTTTTCTAACATGTGCATCAATTATTGATGCTACCATGTTTAAATTTAAGGTTAAATCATTAAAAAAAACTAATTATTACATGTACTCCTTTGCTGATCAGCATTTGATCTGTTCTGTCAGATAAGCCAACACACTTATTTTACTCTAGACAACTATTTCAGGAAACACTGGCCATCTAAATTAAGAAAACAAAAGAGCAACAGGATTTTCTGCTCTGCTCAAGCAGATCTATAAACTTCACAATAGAATAATCTGTGAAGCAGTATCAAAAACATGAACAGGCAAGCACAGTGGAGGGAAAAAAGGCAGACAGGGGGATGAACAAGATGATGACGTTGTTAAGAAAAAGTCAAAGGTTTTATTGTGTATCGTGGCTTGGTAATTATTGTCACAGAGAGCAGTGAGCAGAAAGTGGGAAGCACACTGGTCTGAGGGGAAAGGGGAAATTAGGATGCTGTTCTTTGGATAGCTAGAGCAACCTGACATCACATTGTATGGAGACTCCAATTTTTCATGTGGGGCGAAAACAAAAACAGAGAAACTTTCCAGGAGGATATTCTTAAAACAAGCTGATAACACACTCTGTACTAAAGCAAAGAGAGACAGTAAGACGGTTGTTATTTCAAAAAAGTCCAAATCTGCAACTAAAATGTAAATATCAAACAGCCGAGGTTAGGTTAATAGGTTTCTGTCCTGGTCAGGGCGTCCTCTGGTACTTAAGCTCTCCATCATCATGCAGGTGGGCGAAGGAAAAGGGGGTCCGTTTGATGGCTGTGTGGGCTTTCAGCAAAGAAACATGTCTTTTCTGGAGTAGAGGCAGTACTGTATATGCCTGCATGTTTTCTGTGATTGACTGCTGTAATCCGGTGCCGTTTCTCTTGAGTGTGATGAATGAAGGGCCGATTGACAGGTTCGGGCGTCATCAGGGCAGAACCCCCATCCTCCACCTTCCCTCCTGATAGCCATGGAGCGTTTTAACCGAAATTGTGCAGCGCCAGGCGGAACATGTCATTGGTGCAAACCCACGCCTCGTTAATGTTCTTCAGGATGAAGCTCTGATGGAATCCCATAATGGGGTCATCGTCTGCCTAGACCAAGCAGAAACAGAGGAGACTTTAGGGGAGGCAATCGTTTACAATGAAACACTTTATTAGCAAGAAGAACGATCTTGACACCAATAATTTACTGAAACATGCACATTTTCAAGATGTGTTTAGCAGGTTTCAAGGCATATTATCAGGATAGTTCACCAAAAAATTAGGTGACAAAAATGTAGGAAGTTTTTTTCTTTAGAAGTACATTAAAGATTTTGGCTAAAAGCTTGCATTTTATGAATCACCAAAAACCTGTTTAAGCAAAAAAAAAAATAATAATCAGAAAAAAAAAATTAAAAATACAACGCACATATTTTCTGTATAACTTGATGGCAAATTAATTACAGAACATTTTTAGATGGAACTATCCATTTTATACAGTAACAGAAAGATACAAGTTGCATCAAGCGAATAGGAAGATAATGAAGGCTAAAAGTTTGCTACAGTACTCTCAACTATTTATCAATCTTCTAAATAACACTTAAGTTAAATTGGAAGCACTAATACTCAGGATGTGTTGTTGTCACTCGGCAGGTTTGGTTTGATTAAAACACTGTAAACATTCCCATCACAATCCTGGTGCAAGACAAGCCAACAAACTCGATGTAGTTCAACTGAAATTTGAAGACAACACTGACAAATACATCTACACAAACCAAACCTCAACACAAACCTAACACAAAACATAACTTCACAGGATGAAACAACACTATAAACAGCTTGATTTGATGACACGGAAACAGCCGAGTAGCTAAAATAAAATGAGTGAAAATGTTGAACCAGGTGGAGACTTTAAGTTTCAGGGTTTATACACATTTTTACTATTAAAATTTCATGATTTTCCAGAATTTTTTCATGACTTTCAAGTAAAAAACATCATAACCTAATGTTTTATGTAATGTCTTCATATGCGTGGTAAAAAAACAATACATGTTAAAACCTATTACAGCATATCGTAAAACACACAACAATCTATTTAGTTTTAGGTTAATTTATATCTATGTAAAATTGATTTAGATAATGCTTACACAGCACTAATAATGTGAGAGTAAGTGATTGGCCGAGGACAGAAAAGTAGTAAAGACAACTAATCTATATTCAAGTATACAGATATCTGTTTTCCATGATGTTTCCAAAACTGTGCGTTTTTATAATTTTCCAAAAATTTTCCAGGCCTGGAAAATGCCATGTCAATATTCCATAACTTTTCCAGGTTTTCTGCTTGCAATTCAAGCTTACAATTAAATTACACATTAGGTATAACCAATACAATTAAACAACTGTCTATTTAGTTTCATTTTTAAACATTCAAATCACAAAGTCTGCAGAAACTGACGTCTGGTCCGAGCTCTTTCACAGAGAATCATCAGTCTATAGCGATTGATGATTGGCTACTGTACTAGAAGGCGGGGCTTTAATCACCATATTGACCATTACACTTTTCCCCATTCAAAACCATACGAGTGACACTTCTTGTGTATTCTAGTCTTTGGTTTTGCATATTTAAAAAATACCAAAATAACAGACAAGAATACTCAGATGTTCAAAATGTTAATATGTTTAAGTAGGTTCAGTGTGGGTCTGAAAAGGTTGTGCTTATAAACTGATTAAACATATGAGATCCAGCGACGTCAACAGAACATAAAAATTTAAATTTAAATGTTAAAAAAGCAAATGTAAACACTCAGGTGCTGTTACCACTAGTGTGTTTTCATTTTAAAAGGCTTTTTTATTGTTATGCCTGGCGTTCACACTACACTACCTGACAAAAGTCTTGTTGCTGATCCCAGTTGTAAAAAAAAAAAAAACAAATATTAACTTGACTTCTAGTATGGGGACGTGTGAGAGATCAGCAGAGTGGATGGCAACATCAACAACCTGAGGTATCAAGACATTTGTGCTGCCCATTACATTACAAACCACAGGAGAGTTCATTAAATTCTTCAGCAGGATAGCACTTCTTCTCATACTTCAGCATCCACATTCAAGTAGCTGAAAGCAAAGAGGGTCAAGCTGCACTAGGATGGCCAGCCCAGTCACCAGACAAGAACATTATTGAGCATGTCTGGGGTAAAATGAAGGAGGCATTGAAGATGAATCGAAAGACTTTTGATGAACTCTGAGAGACCTGCTAGAAAGCTTTCTTTGCCATTCCAGATGACTTTATTAATAAGTTATTTGAGTGTTTGCAGAGATGTATGGATGCAGTCCTCCAAGATCATGGGGAGTCAAACACAATATTCATTCTTTTCTCACTGCACCATGACTTTATATTTTATACTGTACATAATTTTTGTTAAGTGATGACTGTTGTCTAAGCAAAGTCAGACCTTACTGTCCTAATTAAATAATTAAAAATCAAGGCATGATCATATTTTATTTTGGTAAAATAAGTGTAATCTAGAGGTCTTTGCTTTCCATTTAAGCCACTTCTGATACCAAATTATCAACTAAAAGTCAAGTTATTATTTGTTGTTTCTAAAACTTGGATAGGAGGCGACTTTTGTCAGGTAGTGTACTCCACCAACTCCACCAATAATATGCACAGTTTCGCTATTACTGATTTTATTAGTGCCGGTAACGCAACGATACCGCTTAATAATGCAGACGGATCATTGCTTCAGTGCCAAAATAGTGCTTTAAATCATATGTTATTCTTTTTATTTATTTCCATTTTATTTCAAATTACAGGCCTATGAATGTTTAAAGTTTTAGGAAAAGACGTCAAATTATGCCCACACATGATTCGTATAACCGGTAAATAATTATAGTGAAATCAGCTTAACCGAGTCATCGAACTTTACGTGGCCTATTACCCAGCAACATCAGTGTTAGGGAAAAGCTAAATGTTACAATCTAATGTCATTTAAAACAATTACTTAGTTACATTTTAAGGCATAAGTGTGGCCAGAAAAATAGCCTACCTAAAAAAGATACCTAAATTCACAGTTATTACCATGAAAATTGGTTAAAGTTTGTCACGAATAACACGCAACTCAGGCTATATAACTTTTTTCATCATTTTAAATTTAAAAAATAAAGATTTTAGGCTATCATAAGTGTTTATTTTTTTCGTGATATTGTCCGGTTGTCATTTGTAAACCATCATAAACCATTAGGCTAGGCCTACCCGTCATTTTATTTATTTATTAAGCCTATTTTAATAACTTGTTTTCAGGTTATTTTCATTTTAGGGCCATGAGCTACAAGTCAAAACAAACTCGATATGCTGACTGTATTTTAGCTCTTAAAATAGATCTACAATATATTTTATGTTGTTTAATTTTGCATGAGCAAATAGCAGTATAGCCTAAATTACATATTTTAAAAGATTATCATCCAGCCTACCTGCAGCATGTGAGAGGTTTCTCGGTTGATCTGCGGTAAATCCACTTAAGCAATATATTCTATTTATAACACTACAAACTTAACTTCGCAGGCCGATCATCTTTGAACGCAAAAGGCATTTATTATGTGTTAAACCTTGACTGCTGCTGCATAATGGGATGTTTCTCTACACAACGGTAAAAGTGAGCTTTTTAGCAAAATGAAAGCAAACATTCAAAGGGTTCTGCGTTTTGTCAATTTTAGCTTAATTGTAATAATAGTAATAATAATAATAATAATAATAATGTAAATGAATAAATTAAAATATTATTTATAGTGTAGCCTACTGTGTGACTGTGCGGTGAACAATTTATTTTTAATAAAACATTTTTATTAGGCTACATCTTCCCGAATAACTAATGTGAAAATGACTGGCAGTTGCGTCTCTTTAACAGCAAATTTCTTCTGCGTTTCTTCCTTTTAGAGTTTAAGAGAGTTGTCTTTAAAGAATTAGTTAACCAAAGCATGTAATGAATTAAGCTGCTCGTCTCATGTCACCCACTTTTCTCCTTTGTGAGTTGAGTGCGCCTCCATCGTCGTGTGCGCGTTTTAAAGGCCGTTATTTACAGGCGCACCTGACCTCACCATTTTCATAATTTAATTGCTATATCATATATTTTAAAATATTAAAGGTTGGAACTACGGGAGTGTTAGTAATTAATGAGAGAACAAATTTTCAGTTTTGAGTGAACAATCAAACTGGGGGGGCACAAATTCTTTCTGAGGGGGCAATGCCCCCCTTTGCCCCCCCGTAGCGCCGGGCCTGCCTGAACACTTCCGGGATGTACTAGTGGCTCAAACTCGCTCATTTTGAGGCAGGAACTGGCTGACGTGCAAGATTTTTAACTATGAGGTAAACACAAAACAAAACTTTCCATCCGGACCTCCTTTACAGGACTCCACACTTGTAAACAATCGCTCCATTGGACTCGTGTCCAGCTCGCGCCATTCGCGCGACTCTCGGTCCCGCCCAGACTCGTCAGCGCTACCAAGCCGACCAATCACAGAGCTTGCGCTACGCGTCGCTGCGACGTGTAGTTACAATTTTTGAGAGGTGCACGTCAGCGACGGGCGAAGGCGAAGGGCTATGCGTCAGTGCCGTAGCATATGTCGGCGTTTGACGCAGAAGTATAAATCAGCCTTAAAACACACAAACTTTTGAAAACAGGGACGTGTCTATCCTCTCTGACTGGTCTTCTGGACAATTGTGCATCATTCCCTAATTCGTCAAGACACTTTCATTTAACCATTATACAATCAGCAAGTACAGATGCTGGCAAAATATGCACGTTCCCAGTGAGTGTGAATGTTCATGGAGCATGTGTTTTAGGTTGAATAGTGTGGACAGAGACCATTTTTCTGAAACTTAATAAACACGTCAGTCTGGATGTGGAGTGTTTGTTGCACACAAAACAATATATTCTGGAACAATTTAGGAAAATAGCAGCCATTATATCCATAGTAGAAACAAAAATTACTATGGAAGTAAATGGTAACTTTTTCCAACATTCTTCAGTATACCTTCCTTTGAGTTCAACAAAACCCAATCAGGTTTAGAAATAGTATATGATTTCAGAATTGATATTTTTGTGTGAACTATCTCTTTAAAGCAAAAGATGATTGTTAGTCACTACACATTTCTATTTTGTCACATTAAACACATTCATAATCACAAAAAATTGTCCAACTCTTACTGCAAATGAACAAATTTCGGGCGTGTTTTGTTGCTGCCAATGTGAAAGTAAACATACAGCAGGCAAACCAGCATCGACAAACTCATTATGGCAATGCATTTCCACCATAATAAAACCACACAGACGCTTGATCTGAAGACAGTTTGAAGCCATTAGCAAAGCGGCTTGTACAGTGCACGTAAACCCAAGCGCTCACTAGTCCTTACAGACTTTAAGAGAAGAAGGAAAGGCCATGTGACCACCGAGAGTCTTTGAGCTCAAAGGTTGTGCAGGGCAAGCCTGAAGACTTCATTGCTGCAAACCCAGGCTGTGTTGATGCATTTCAACAGAAAGGTCTGGTGGAAGCCCAGCACCTGGTCATCATCCGCCTGATAGACAAACACACAACTCTGAAATTGACAGTGAAATTTACGCACAACCAAGTGACGTAATGTGGTGCGAGAGGGCAAGCAAAAGAGGCTTAAAACATCCGCGGCTGCTCTCGTTCATAATGGGATTAAGGTGATTTTATGTGTTTCATATGGGGAAAATGCTCTCTCAATCACGTATATATTTGGCAAAAGTGTTCATCTCAAGCGCTGCTATGATAGAATGTTAATAAAATACTTACTTTTAGTTGGCCTACTACCATACTCAATATGCAGCTATCAGGGGTGGGCTGGTGGTCTTGTGCTGTTATGCTGTGAGCTATTTTTGTGAAGGGCAGGCTCTGAAACAGAGAAAAAAAATAATAAATTCTAGCATATGTTTTACGCAGTGGATGCCCTTCCAGCTGCAACTACTGTACAGGGAAACACCCATACACTCTCACATTTACACACACACACACACACACACACACAATGGGCAATTTAGTTTAGTCAATTCATTTGGGGCATGTCTTTGGACTGTAGAGCAACTGGAGCACCCGGAGGAAACTCGCACCAACACGGGGAGAACATGGAAACTCCACACAGAAATGCCAACTGGCCCAGCTGGGACTCGAGCCAGCGACCTTCTTGCTGTGAGGTGACAGTGCTAACCACTAAACCACCATACCGCTGCTATATAACCATACATGCTCAATTAAATTATTACAACATTAAGGTGAAATTTTCACACACATTTAAACTTAATCTTTAAAAGCACTATTGTTAGATAACTCTTTCCCATAAGAATAGTCCATTTGAATAGTACATTTTTGACAAAAAATTCATTTGGATTGGAATCAGAATGATAAACAAAACATGATGACATGAAAACATTTCCCAACTTAAAGCTAATAGCTAGAATTTTAACATTGGTGCATTTTAGTTGGAAAATTGCCCCTTCTACTTAAAAAAAATAAATAAATTTAACCAAGAACAAAAAGGAAACAAGAAAGAACTTTATATCAACCTCTAAATTTTAACAATATAGATCAAAATACTTACGGAAAGCTTTTCGACAATTGCCGCTTTTCCCTGGAATTGCTGACCCTCCCACGTAAGGCATGATGCATCAATCTAAGATGACAGAAAAAGAGTTTGTAGCTTAAGAAATCATTATGTAGAAAGTGAAGCAATGCTGTGGTCAGTTAAATACAATTATACACCTATGCTATATTATCTATTACGGAAAAATGACAATAACTGAACAGGAGCACTCACAGTAGTAGACAATGCACAAAATATTACAGTTATATCTCTGTTTGTTGGGTTGTAATACAAATATCTTTATCAAGGATTTTTTTTTTATGCAGCTCAAATAGTAAGAGCACTTCAAGCTCTTTTCCAGTTCAAGTACAAACCATGAGAGTACATTTTTGGAAATTGAGATTTATATATTGCACAATAGTTGAAGAAACATGCTTTCCATTGACATATTGTTAGGACAGGGTTATATGTGGTTAAGATACAACAATTTGTAAACCTGGATTCTGAGAAAAATCTGAGTAAAATCTTTTTTTATGTAAGTAATCGAAAATTAAGTTTTAAAAAAAATTACAAAATTACAGTTCATATTGAAAAGATTGTTAAAATAAAATGCTGCAGCTTATCACAACTTTGAAAGTGTCTTCATGAAACTTCATGAATCTTACATTTCTAATAATTTTTGCTATAAAAAAAGACAATTCTGATAATAAAAAAGAAAATATTCAAAAATAGGAAATGCAATGATTTACTGGTTTCACAATTAACCGCTCTTTAATTCCTCATGGATAATGAATCGCAAAGGTAAACAATAGATTTGTGTTAGGACAACATGAGGAAATTAAGTTAACTTATTAGTTTTTACAAATTTAAGTGGATTGAACGTAAAACAATTAGACTGCCCCTTAAAAACTCAAGATAGTATTTTAAATACAGTTGTAGTCAGAATTATTAGCCCCCGTTTATTTTTTTTCCCAATTTCTATTTAATGGAGAGAAGATTTTTCAACACATTTTTTAAACATAATAGCTTTAATAACTAATTTCTAATAACTGATTTATTTTATCTTTGTCATGATGACAGTAAATAATATTTGACTAGATATTTTTCAAGACACTTCCATACAGCTTAAAGTGACATTTAAAAACTTAACTAGGTTAATTAGGTTACCTAGGCAGGTTAGGGTAATTGGGCAAGTTATTGTATGATGATGGTTTGTTCTGTAGACTATAGGAAAAAAAATGCTGAAAGGAGCTAATAATTTTGACCTTAAAATGGATTTAAAAAACTTTAACTTAAAAACAGATAAGACTTTCTTCAGAAGAAAAAAATATTTTCTAATAATTCTGACTTTAACTGTAAGTATTTTGAACAAACAGCAAACCTTTTTTTTTGAGTGTGGAGAGCTTTCCAGGTGGCCTAGTTGAGCGCACCACGAGTCACGTGACAAACTGGACTGATCAGCTTCATACTTTGTATGGAATATACACATATCTACTCCAAAGAGAGTAAAAAAGTACTAAATTAAAAAATACTCCTCAACCCCCGGGCCGCGGACTGGCACCCACCCGTGGATCAATTGTTACCGGGCCGCACAAGAAATCATTAATTATTTTCATTTTATTTATTATCCGAGTAGAATGATCTTTTATTTAAAAAAAAAAATTTATTTTGCAAAATGAACGTATTCTCTCGCTTACATCTCAATCACTTGAGCACCAAAATTTAACCCACAAGCAGCAAAATAATTAAGAAGCAGACATCTTGGAAAATTTCTTTGCATAGGAGAAAAGGCCCAAATGAAGGATCCACAAACTGGCAAGGAATATATCAGCAACCCATGACAACAAATAAGGTCAATTCAGCATATCTGTACTGCAAGAAGATAAACTGCTGGTGATCACAAATTATGGGGGCCGTTAACATATCGTGTCGTTCCTAGGGTTGGGCCGATAGACGATGCCATCGTCCATTGCCGATGGCCAATAGACAACACGATGCTGAGCCGGTATCGCAGATACTCTTTTAGATTCAGCAGCCTTTGACAACATTTGTCCTCTTTAAAAGGGAAATACTTAGCTAATAGCTTAGACAAATAAATTTTTTATTCACATTTTTATTCATTCATTGTTCTGTTATTTATTTTCAGTAAATATTACTTATATTTAAATGCCAAAAACATTTTTTCACTCATTTTAAGTCAAAAAAAGATGAATGGACTATTATTTGTTTTTATTACTATTCTGTGCTGTATTAATTAATTACTGAGCAGCAATAAATAACACTTTAAAATATAAGGAGATTTTATGTTATTTTTTGTTTTGAACTAGTAGTGTTTCAAAATTAATGAATGCAAAATAATTGTGATAACCGTGATAATCCACAGACTATAACCGTACAACCAAAATCTATATTTGTTGCATTTCTATTTAGAGCTGCACAATTTATCGTAAAAAGATCGCCATCTCGATTTGACCCGCTAGAGTCAGACGATCTTAATCCAGCATTTCTGACAATCATATTTTCAAGTTCAAGGGATAAGCAAAGCGGGCTGCACGAGTCTTTTCATTGTTTCACATACATTGCTCTGCGACATGGACACCTCCAAATGATGTTGAAAGAGTCACATACTGTATTTATAAGGTATAATTCACCTAAAAATGTTATTTTTGTCTTCATATAATGCTGTATTCGCGGCCAGGAAATCACACGTGATGTGAGCTGTAGTGCGGACGCGCACCCTACTTAATGATAGACGCACACGCGTCTCCTTTAGTGAACAGAAACTGCTGTGAGTAACAGGTAATAAAGTTGTAAATAGTATTGAGTTTGTGACACAGAGTGATAGTTTGAGAGTTGCGTGTGAAGTATGAACCGCATTTAGCAGTGAAAATGAAACAAAGCGTGCACATCATTAAAATAATCATATCGCATTTTAGAGTTATGATCATGACAAGCATTTGATATATTTTTTCTTTCATAGCGAACACACAGTTGTGCATAAAAATAAATGTTTACAGTGGCAGTATAACTACTCTAGCCCATATAATGTTGATTTTACCAGTGAATTTAAAGGTCTAATATTGTTGTCAATGATTGCAAGCATATTTCTCAACATAATTCAACATCAGAATTATCATAAGTAGAATAGAATTACTTATAGAAACCAGTAGACCTACACATAATATTATTATTGTTGTTTAACCATATGTTTGAGAAAAAAACAATAATAATTGCCGACTCATATTAACCTTTATTTTACATCTACAAAAAACCCCCAAAAAAATTGTGATTCTCATTTTAGCCAGAATCGTGCAGCTCTAATTCCTATTCACAATAATATAGCTGTGCAACATAAGATTAAGAGGTTTTGTGATCCAGAGCCACACATTTCAGGGCTGAAAAGACACTGAAAAACTTGCTTGCTACCCTCCAAGACATAAACCAAGTGAACCTTTAAAAACCCTCATGATAGCTATACAAAAACAAGTTGGCAAATCTCTCTCTCTCTGCTAAAGGACTAGTCAAAGAAGAATCCTCCTGAACAACAACAGCAAAAAACACTTACATATATTGATCCAAGTTGAGTCCTGTCTGTGTCAAACAGTTGATAGTAATGTTGCACAAAGCTGGATCCTATTTGTTCCCAAATCGGCTTGTCTCCCATTCTGATTCACCCTGCTACAGGCACTGGTGGAGACAGAAGAAATGACTCAATGCATTAAGACAGACTGAGTACAGGCAGTACAGTTCACATATATTTTTAAGATACAATGCTTCAGCTTATAGCAAGAAGGACCAGCAATTTCAGACTTGATACTCAAAGTTAATAATCTAGATGGCTTATTGAGGCCTATTTCCATTGTTTTCATTGGTTCAGTTCAAATCAGTAATTGCAGTTCATTATTTTAAAAGATGTCCAGCTATAAGCAGTTTTCAAAAGACAGCAATAACTTTATTAAGCTCAACTCAGTTCAATAAAAGTGTCAAAGATGCAATTCAACAGTTTTACAGAAGACAGTTAATTTAATTCAGGTTTTGTTTTCATCTGACGGTGTTAGTCTTATCAATACGATTCTTAAGGTAAAGTTTCTATGTTGATTGCTGATACTTAAGGCGATTTACCTTCTGTTTTTTGTACAGGCCAAACAAATGTATGTGTGTTGTGTTTTTAATCACGTTCATTTGTTTAGATTTACTTTTTATTTATGGTTCATACAGGGATTTATGATGACTATAAGTAATATTTAAAGTGTTTTCTCCACTAGTTTGGTTTATTTGGGCATAGCTGAACTGCCAACTTGCTTTTACCAACAAAGACATGTTCCTGGATTAACATCTATGTTGATCCTGGAACAACATTCCAATTAGCCAATCAGAATAAAGAAATATGTTTACAGTTGATGTTCGGTTTAATCTTACTGTTTGGTTTCTGCACTTTTACATGATTGTCCAACTATTTTTCCCCTTTGATTTTGGGAATAATTTGCAGTTATAGTTGGGTATATGGGTAGGAATTCATGCCCAATCAATCAGTACAAGATTGGCTAAATGAAGAGTTTTCTTTCATATTTAACTTTTGGTGTGAAGGCAATCCAGGCTTTATTACAGCATGAGATTATTATCATTATTACACACACTGCAGGAAAATAGCAATGCTTTTTTTAAAATGTCTTTTAGAATAAATCGCAAGTTATACTGGAGAGAAGAAATGTCTAATTAAATTTGGTTAAAAGAACAAAATACCACTGGTTCTTGCTCAAAACTAGAAAATAATATAACAGCGACATACTGTTGAAACCACACAGAGCTGCTGCATTCTGATGGATGACTGATATGAGCAGAACCCTGATTGTTCAACAGGTGCGATCTGACTTGTGATCAATGAGTACGTTTACATGGATACCAACAATCAGATTTTAATACAATTACAATATTCTCATCAAAAGTCTACCTCGTAAACAGCGATTTTTGATTACCTTAATCCGACTAATGTCATTATCAAACTAAACAGAAATTGGATTAACATGTGGAGTATGGCAATTTTAATTGCATTATTGAAGTGCAGTACAGACATGTGAACACCGCAATCAAACTATTGCTGTCATGTAAGATTTTCGTCGCATTGTGCAACAGGACAGTCTATACCAGGGATGGGCAAACTTGATCCTCGAGGGCCAATGTCCCTGCAGAGTTTTGTTCCAACACTAGTCAAACACACCTGAACAAACTAATCAGTGTCTTCAAGATCACTTGAACTCTATAGGAGGTATGTTTGAATAGGGTTGGAGCTAAACTATGCAGGACACTGGCCCTCCAGGATCAAGTTTGCCCACACAACATGAAACTCCAGGGGAAATGTGGATAGCGCAGAGATGTAATGACGTGAATCGAATTGTGTTATAACATGTTAAACTAGATCATAAAAGGAACATTCAAAAATGAATCAAACCAAGATCATGATGCAATGCTGTAACAGTTTTAAGCTCAAATTGATTTCACACATATCTACAGATGTAAAAAGACAGACAGCAGTCATCTCAAGTGGAATCTGAATAATCAAAATATCTGAATATTCAAAATTGTAGTTTATTTGTGTAAGAAACACAGGCTAAACAGGCTAGCAAAATAATGTATTCACCTTATTCATTTCCTGACAATATGCCAGATATTGTATAAGAACAAAATTTAAACAACAAAATCACAAAATGAATAATCCAGACAGTTTACACCAACAACTTACATGTGTTCAATCAAAATAATCAGTTTAAGCATGAAACTGAACATCAATTACAACATTGACTGCTCATGGATGAGTTTGCACTGTGAATACAGTAACAGTGCAATTATGTGACAAAATGTACACTTTTATGAACACACTCAGGACCTAATGTAAAGGCTCATACACACCGGGACGCTTTTCATTTGCGTTTATCGTCAGCATTTTATAAGACGTTATTCTGGGTTCAAACCCAAGTGATTTCCACTGGCGTCAAGCAGAAGAGTACGCAAAATCACTCCTTGACGTTAGATGGCGCTACTCAACTTTAAGCTTCTAACACCCACTTGTAACACAGAATAAGAAGACAAAGTTGACACGCTTGTTGTTATGCATGGTTCAAGTAGCAGCTCCAGTAATAAAGAAATGATTACTGTTCACTAGGCCAATAAGCAGCTCCACATACATATCGCATCTGTGCATCTTCTTCAATATGCGCTCACATTGACAGTTTTGTGCTTGAGCACCTCCAAGTGCTGTTTACTGTAACTTCAGCAGTTCCGTGCACATGAACAAAAAGTAAATCTGATTGGTGGAGAAGGTTTTGACTCGGCCCGTCAAAACAAAAAATTGAGCATGAGGCATTTCTTTAAAAATGATGCTTTTACGCCTAGCGTTTTGTACGTTGGTGTGCACGATCACGATTTAGTCACAAGGCCTTAAAAGTCGTTAGAAAATGTGAGCAAAAACATCTCTGTGTGCACGGGCCTTAAGGTTACCTAATTAAAGATAATAAATAGAGATTCCTTTTTAAATTGAGCATTTTGATTCATACATCTATGCATCAACAGGAGCTGTTGGTATTTATTTTGTTTTGCAATGAGCTTTTTTTTTTGCATTATTATACTATAAAAAGCACCCACATTAGTGGGTGATAATAGTGGTGCCCAAACTCAGTCCTGGAGGGCCGGTATCCTGCATATTTTAGTTCCAACCCAAATGAAACACACCTGAACCAGCTAATTAAGCTCTTTCTTAGTGTACTAGAATCTTCCAGGTAGGCGTGTAAAGGAAGTTAGAGCTAAACTGTGCAGGACATCAACCCTCCAGGACCAAGTTTGCACACCCCTGTTTTAGATATTGTCATTTCTAATCTAATGTAACCTTTTGTTTGTTTATTGTTAAAAGGTAAATTAAATGTTTCAATTAAATGGTGAGAATTAATCAGATTTAGTTTAAATGTACATACTGTCACCCGACATATAGAGGACAAATCAAGGCAAACTATTCAGCATTGTGAACTCCAATGTGTTACAATTGTGATTGTTTATGTTTTTATTGCATGACATATCATTTTAAATGTTCTACTGCATTAGTTAATACCATTTAAAGTAATGTTTTCTAAAAGAAATAGGAAATTACCCTTGGCAACTTAATAGTAATATAATTTAGTGTATTTACCTTTAGTCCTCAGCTCTCAATGATAGTTTTTAGGCCCTTTATACGAAAAGTCTGGGCATCCCTGTCTTAGATGATTTAAGCCTAGGTTAATTCACTACAAAGTTTCATTTTTAAAAGAACTATTTCTTTAAGAGGGCACTTTCACTTTAAAATGATGGTATGGACAAATAACTCATAACAAAAACTGCAATATTCCATAAAATCCTTAATCATCCATTTTAATTTTATGGTAACTTTAAAACTTTATAGCTTAAACAGATGACTTAATTGTTTTGGTATTTCTGAACTCTTTCAACTCAGCTCCTGCTCCACCCATACGGATTTGTCAGCAGTTTTGACTGGCTACATATCACGTGCTTGGACTATGACTCACTTAGTCATTCAAACTCAAAAAACATCAATTTCTCTGAACTCTTTTAGTTGAAAAACAACTGAATAGTCACTTTTGTGGTTGTGGGCCACAACGCTCCTTTAGTTAACGATAGTTGGAGCAGCTGACAGTAGTAGGTCACCATAGCTAACATTAACTAATCAAACTCCTTTGATTCCTGTCAAATCGACAAGTCAAAGAAGTCAATTAAAATGATTCTTCCATCAATGACTAATAAAGAAAGGCATTCGGATGGTCATTATAAAGATGATTTTAGCTCTAGCTGGATGTTAGCTAATAACTGCATATACAAATCAATCACTGTGAATATGTAACGTTATAGGCTTCTGAATTATCTGTAAAAATCACAACAGTCAAACTACACCCATTGTTTGATCTGGACAATTCCCAGCCATTAAAAATCACAGTGCTATGACTACCAGCTAGCTTTGACTGGCCTCTGTGTGGACTGATTCATTGTAGCTTTAGCCGCAGACGTGCTAACACTAGGCTGTCTGTCTACAACGAGCTCGCCGGCTAAACGCTCATGAAGAAAAGTTGTGTTTTACGGTGAAGTGGCTGTGGTTTTCTGAATATCGACTCGGAGGTGGATAGCAACCACCACCCGTGAACTTGGAGCAAACGCGATCTCGTTCCGATCTAAAAATACCCCAGCGCCATATGAGCGGAGACCCTCGCGCGGCCCGTACACGCTCCTGTCCTATAGGCGTGTCCTATTAGCTAGCGCTTCAGATCATTCTTGGCAAAAAGCCCCAGTCATACTTCGCATAAAGTGGTTATAAAGTAGTTATGTGCAGCGCAAATACAGCGTTGCCTGCTACAAGTGATATATGGCCAGTATCTTACCTCCGTGAGCCCTAAACCGAATCCCCGGTTCCAGTTATGGCGAATCCAGCGCGCGGAGAACAGAAGTTGAGCGGCCTCTTCAGTGTGAGCATGCGCACTGCTCTTACACACTGCTTTGAATTTTGCCTCTTGACAGTTAGTCAACAGATCTTAGGTGTAAACAGAGATGTTGATATATTGCTTTCCAAATGTAGAAGCGAAGCTTCGAGCAGCAGCAGGTGAATCCAAGAATAGTATACTTTTAATACTCGAAAGAATTTGTATATTTTCACTGCTATATACATCTGAAATGGTCAATTTTGTGAGATAAAAGAGTTACGCTAACAATAGGGTATTATTTGTTAACTTAAGTTAAATAGTCCCACATAATTTTTTAATTTTATTGTAATTTACATCTAATTTGGTCAATTCTGTGAGAATTCCCTATCCCATGTGTTCCATTAGTTAATGCAAGAGGGTCATTCCTACTATTCAGTGTCATTTGTGTCCCCAAGGCATTATATGGTACAGAATATTTAAAAATGCAGTTTAAAATCCTTTAAGCTTGTCTGATAGTATTATCCCATTTCTACAATGATCAGTGCTCAAAATGAAATGAAATGTAAAATATTTACTCTAATTTCAGTGTAGCTGAATTGCAATGTCCCTTCATGTATGCTCATGTTCAAGTATAACCCAAAAATGATAAAAAGTCTAATAAATACTATACTTTTTATTGATTTTGTATTGTAATATATGTAATACATCTCACCAAATACTATATTTAATAAAAATAATTCCAATATTTTAATAACAATTTTAAATAAATGTGTTTCCCTGAAATAAATGTGCCCCCCCCCCCCCCCCCCCCCCGGTTACTTTAATTGTATTCCCCATAAAAATTCCCCCAGATTGCTTCTCTAGTCACATGATTCTCAAGAATTCTCACAATTATGGAGAGACATTGTCTAAAAGAAGCAGAGCTGGTCTCACTCTTATCTTATTTAATTTTCAACATTTTAGACCAGTTTTCTGTTGTGGTAATGCATTACACGTCCACCCTGTTACCCATTTTAATAGGGGAAACAATGTTTTTTGTGTTTTTTTTTTTTTTTTTTTTTTTTTTGTCATTTTGAGAAATACAGTTAATGAACATGTTTCAAATCTTCCTGGTCATCACACTGCGTCCATGATATTTATTTATTTATTATTATTAACATAATTTATACAAAATTAAAGAAGATCAGTTAAAACCATGTGAATGATTTTGACAGAGAATGGCACTCTTGTCTACTGCAGAAAAGCAGAGATGATACATAAAATAATAGTTTTATTTGCAACTTTCAGAATTTTGCTATTTGTACTGTACTATCTGTATGACATTTGATGTGTTCCTTGTATTTCATGTCTCAGATATGACATTGAAAAATGTTGCTGCAGCAAACTAAAATTGACAAGAAGTAAGATTGGCAAATACTGTAGAAATATTGTGTATTAATAGTTCATTTTTATTAACTAGTTTTAGTGTTACATAAAAAAACTGGCAGATAATTTAAATTTATTTTTAAGACACTTGGCAGATTATTGCTGAGGTGAAAAAAGTACAATAAAAAAAAGTTAAGGATATTGTTATAAAAATGCCATAATATGAAATAAAGGCAACCGGTCAAAAATTTGGGGTCAGTATGATTTTTAAATGTTTTAAAATAAGCGTCTCCTGCTCACCAAGGCTGCATTTATTTAATAAAAAATACAGTACAAATTGTAAAATTGTGAAATGTTATTGCACTATAAAATATATGTTCAAATGTAGTTTATAATTTAATTTAATAATTTTTTCCAGTGATTTTAATGATGATTTTTCAGGTTCATTACTCCATTCTTCAGTCACATGATCTTTCAGAAATCACGCTGATATTAATTATTGTTATTAATATTATTATTAGTAGTAGTAATGGTAATAGTTATAAAAGCAATAATGACTGGAGTAATTATTTCATTTGAAACTGCATACAATAAGAATAAATTTGAATAAATATTTAACAATTAAAAAACTAGTTGTACATGTAATAAATGCCGCCTTGATGAACAGAAAAAAAAACATGAAAGAAAAACACTGAACCCAAACTTTTGACCAGTAGTGTATATTTTCAAAAACATATTAATCAATAATGAATAAATCTAAAAAAGATGTTTCAAATATGAGACTTCAGATTTTGTTTGGATGCAGAACAAAACATGCGTTACTAAACATAAAATGAAATAATTATCAGTCATTTTTAACTTGAATGCTTTGGAGTCAAATCCATTTGTGTGTGTGTGTGTGTGTGTGTGTGTGTGTGTGTGTGTGTGTGTGTGTGTGTGTGTGTGTGTGTGTGTGTGTGTTCACATGGCAAGATCCAAAGCCTTTACTCAGTTTTGTGTAAAAAAAGGTTTCAAGTTTATTTAAAAGATGACTGAACAGTGTTAAATAATAAATTGTTGGAAAAAAGTAACATTCCTTTTCGTCATTTTGTCAGAAAGCATGGCTCTTGTTAATAAATGACATTCAATTGTAACTAAGCAGCAGAACAAATAATAAATATAACAAATCGATATAAATGTATGATCTATTGACAATTCTCAAGTAATTTATGCAAAAATACAAATGAATAAATCTCTGTTGATTTAAAATGTTAATATAAATATTTGTAAATGTAAAAGGTTATAAGACAAACAAGTTTTCTTTCTCTTTAAAACATTAGGCTATTGAACAAAAGCATTCCATTACTTATCATTGTCTAATCTTTGATATGGGATTTTTCAAAACACTACCACCACAGAGGCATTTCTATGCCTAAGTGCTATGCTTGGTTACTATATGTAGTGTGTTATAAATAGCCCATGAATGTGCTTGGAGTAACAACGGTCATCCCTTTGGCCCTGCCCTTTTGACATGAGCCACAGAGAGACGCTGTAGCACAACCTCCTTTTCCAAAGCTTGAGCTTGTAATTCACTCTCCTTTGTCTGAAAAGCTACACTGAGATTCCATTCCAGATTTTCAGGTTCCAGTGAGGGATCAATAGTTTTGAAGGCAACCCAGAGCTGCTCTGCATCCACTTCCCTATGATATGCAGAACATGGCAGAAGTATGAGAACATATATACTGCAATCTAAACAGGATTAGGTAAACGTGGCTTTACTGTTAGATCTCCAACGAAGCACACATGATGGTTTCTCACCCTTTGCCTTCCAACTGAGCTCTAAGCTCACTGATGTACTGGAGCCTCTCAGCGGTAGCTTGTTTTTTGACTAGACTCAGGAATTCTTTGTGTTGTCCATCTGTGTCCTGAAGTAGAAACAACATGCACACAGAGGATTATGCTGTGATAACATAGATATTGTGCTGGATACGAGGAGGCATGTTTTCACAAAACTCTTTATGAGTTCATGTACATGTTCATATGCTGCACAATAATATATATTGTTTCAGTATTGATTTCGCAATGTGATCAGTTGCAATAGTCACATTGCAGGATATGCGATGTTGATGTTGTATTATAATTGATCATTTTCATGTGTTTTTTTGAGGCTCGCGACTGTATAATGATTTTAAAGGTGCCATATACTGCATTGGTTTATTAAGTTAAAATGTTCTCTGATGTCTGCACAGTAGGTTTTTGGCTTCGGTAAGTTTAATAAAATCTCCAGAAATGGTATAATAAGCTCATTTGTTGCTCCATAAAATACTCCTAGAATCAGAAGGTCTATGATTGAGCATATATGGTTTGTGTTGTGAATATTAATGAGCTCCGCTCTGACATGCCGCTCTTGCAGGCACAGACACACACACAGAGAGCATGATGTACACTGAATATGGACAGATACAAACCCAATCGGAGTATTGTTAACCTTTTTTGCTCACCAGATCTGTTGTGGATAAAGGCTCAATTATAATTAAACTTCACAAAAGTGAGTGATAGCAATGTATCGCGATGTAAGAAAACAGCCAGGACTTAGTAGCAATTTTTATAGTCTTTGGTGTCAAACTCTGCATGAGCATATGACAGTTGAGCAGTGATTTGACATGATTCAGCAGTCTACACAACTGTTGAAACACACGCATTACATTTCACTTTAAACATGATAAATTAACAAAAGATGAAACTAAACATACTTTGTGCCTCTTTAAAGTGCTCATCAGGTCTGGATGAATGACCTAAAATTAGTTTACTTGCAAATGAGGAGGGCATGGCCCGTGAGTCTCATCACAGTTTGTTTTGTCTTCTGATTGGCCCGTTGTCCATATTGTGAGCCTCAGACACCACTGTTTTCCCATTTTCATGTTAATTCCATGGTTGTAAATTTACATGAAAACGAGGAAACAGTGGTGTCTGAGGCTCAAAATATGCCCATTTCCATATACTGATTTTTTATTTTTCTATTATACATTGGTTTACCCAGATTTACATTATAGGGCACCTTTGAAAGCATTCAGGCATTAGAAATTGTAGCATTTTTAACTTTAATAACGATTGATTTTATTGATTTATTTTTATTATTCAATTACTGTATACTGTTAGACTCGGAAAACAACAAAACACTGTTTGTGACTATTCTTTATTGTATTTATAGATAGTTTACTAGATTTTATACAGATGCACTCCTGCTACAGAATCATCAAAATCAATCTAAAATTTCCAAATAAAGAAAATCAAGTCACCTGGTGAAATTGTATTCCTATCGCAATATACAGTTGAAGTCAAAATGATTAGCCCACCTGTTTATTTTTTTACCCAATTTCTGTTTAATGGGAAGAATTTTTTTTTCAACACATTTCTAAACATAATAGTTTTAATAACTCATTTCTAATAACTGATTTATTTTATCTTTGTCATGATGACAGTAAACAATATTTTACTAGATATATTTCAATACACTTCTGTACAGCTTAAAGTGACATTCAAAAACTTAACTAGGTTAATTAGGTTAACTGGGCAGGTTAGAGTAATTAGGCAAGTTATTGTATAATGATGGTTTGTTCTGTAGACTATCAAAAAAAAAATAGCTTAAAATTAAAAATAATTTTGAACTTAATATGGTGTTAAAATTAAAAACTGCTTTTATTTTAGCCAAAAAAAACAAAACAAATAAGACTTTCTCCAGAAGAAAAAATATTATCAAACATAATGTGAAAATTTCTTGCTCTGTTAAACATCGTTTGGGAAATATTTAAAAGCGGGGCTAATAATTCTGACTTGTTGAACAAAGCAAAATATTGAAATGTTAGATTTTCCAATATCGTGCAGCCCTACATGAACATGTAAAAGTCTAATACATGTATAAATACAGCTTTGGAAACAAAATAAAAATAAAATGTATAATTGTTTTTGTTTGTTTTTTGTATTTGCAGTAAAGGTAAGTTTGTTTAATAAAAAAGGTTTTTCTTTTAAACTAAACTGCTGAAAATGTGTCTTCAGAATTTCAAATAATATTATCATTAGATCATTTATAAATAAGGATATATGACAAAAATGCATTATTAAATGTTTTCAGAAAAATCCATACTTTCAAATGTATACATTTCTGGAAACAAATGTATCATATTAAGTTAAATAATATACATTAGTCTTAATCAGATTAGAATAATTCATAACTTACATTATTCAAAGAAAAAATTAATTCTTGCAAAATATTTCACCTCTTTTGCGACAAATGCAATTCATCAAATGTGGCTCTATCTCACAATTTTATTTTATTTTTTTAAGATACAGAATTATTAGAATGAAATTTTTGAAGTGCTTTCTGAGATAGTCAAGTTTGACGTGAAATTACGACCAGATCGTAACCAAATCGTGTACCAAATACATAACACAAATTGATTTTATACTGTTTAACTACTGCCAAGAAGTTACTGCTACTGTTTTGGGATAAAAAGGAATCATGTGGCTTGGAGAAATGGCCTCTATGTTACATTTGGAGTGAATTAGATACTATTTGAAAAGAAAAATCAAACAATCTGACATAATTTGGCATCCTTTTATCTGTTACCTTGAAAAAACCTTATGGAATAATGCATCACTTCTGTAATGTTTTAATATGCTTTGTCATTATGCTCTGTTGTTCAAACAGGTCTTTGTAAACAAGTTGGCTTTTTATGTGGGTGGGTTTTTTATTTATTATTTTGATTTTCCTATTGTTTTTCCTTTTCTTTCCTTTTCTTTCTTTTTCTTTGCTCTGCCATTGTTATATATGGACAAAATATGTAAAACAGAGAATTATTTTCTTTCTGAATCTGTGTCTAAAATAAAACTTATTTGACAAAAAATATTATACATTATCAGCAGTTTATAAAATAAACAAAACAAATAACCAAAATATGTGACTGTTAAATGGCAAATCAAGAGAACTAATAATTACTTTGAAGTTGTATCTTATTATTTCCGACATTTGTAGATTATAAATATTTTTAAAAATTCAAACACATGACAATCCATGCAGTACCTAATATTTGCATGATATTTTGGTCACACCAATCCCTATCATGATGAGCTTAAAGCCACAAAATCTACTCCTTTTTACAATCAAAGAATTACATATTCTTAGCGAAAACTTTGGAACTGACCTCTGTATAAAGTGTCTGATAAGAAATGCGCACTCCACTGCTCTCCAGCTCTGTCTGAGCCGCCGCCAACAGCTCCTCAATGTCCTGATCCGACTTCAGAGGGAAAGCCTTCCTCAATGCCTCGCTGAAAACCACCACACATATATAGTGAAAAAATAAAATGACAATCATACATTTACTGATAAGAAAATGTGACTTTTTTTATCCTCACCTAAATTCTGAGACAGTCAGTGATCCGCATTGCGTTATGTCACTTTGAATTAAAACCTTAAGCAAGTGAGACAGCAGCTGTGTCTGTCCATGGTAGATACTCTCATCAACCTGCCACAACATTACAGTCAACACAATTACAGATTCTAAATCAGGTTCACGGATATTGATCTGTCATTTCTCTAGATTCACAGAATTCACTCACTACTGAAAGCGCCGGATTGGTTTTTATTAAGTGCCATTTCGTGTGCTCGTGAATCATCTTTTGAGTGTAGACGCCATGTAAATAAAAGATTCATTGTGTAATTTAGAGAGCTTTATAAATTATAACGGATCTTTGTGAGATCTCTATGAACTAAGATTAGTGACTCTTTTTAGTGATAATAAGAGGAGCGTGCTGTGCACTTTCCAGGCTATAATCCATTCAGAATTTGTATGAAACTTTCGTTTTCGGCACATATACGCTGATATGTTTTGGGAATGACATCTGCATATTTACGCTGGGTTTATTCTCGAAATAACGGTGAAGCAATAGACGGGACAAAAATATATTTCCCCCTTCTCCTTAAACAACTTAGTGTTTCAGCTATGAAATAGTTCAGTTTTGTATGTAGCCTAATGGCAAAGTGTTTATATTTAGTTTCGTTTTTTATTCAGCTTATTTAGAAAAACGTTTGGAGCATTTTTTATTCGTTAAAATTAAGGGTTTTTTTAACGAACAGCGCCCAGCGGAAGACCATCATTGTCTGTTTGATCAGTTTGCCTTCTCAGATCATCACGACTTGCCTAAAATAAAAGATATAAAACAGTTCAAGTATAAAACAATGGTAGCTTAAACGTTAAAGAATGTGTGCTATTAGGCGCATAGTTTGCTTATAAAAAGCTTGCAGGACATCGAGGCGCCAGAGCAATCACTTGCATTTTTTCAGTGGGAGCAATTTAAAGTTATCCGTCATTTTTGCTCACAAAGTACGAGTAATACATCAAAAAACGTTACAGCGATTTTATAAAATAAAGAAAACCAAAACTGCGCTTTCTGTCGTCTGGTTTTTGAACAGGAGCGCTTAACAAAATGAAGCAAAATGTATATGCCTCACAGACATAATAAATATATTTATAGAAAGCTTTAAATTATTAATTAACGTAATAAAACAAATCGAAAACAAAAAAACTCCTTCATGTAATCCGTAAAGATGAATTTCTAAAGGCGAGTCCAAGAGGAGATTGCCAGTCAGGATCTTTGCGACACTGACTCAGAATAAGTTTATTAATAAATAATTAAGATATGTCCTTACACTTTCCTCGACACATTCATTGTTTTTTGTTTTTGCCGGTGCTTGGGGCGAGTTTTAGCTTATTGTGTGCGCTTGAACGCGGATTCGCAGTAGCAGTTTTAACATGGAGTGACACGACATCTGACGTACAGATGACACTGGCACATTCCGGTGGCACGTCCGGTTTTCCACTGTCATGTGTCACTCGCTAGTGGCATGTGTAATGACCTAGTGACCTGTGTCACTCAGAGTGTCCGCTGCATGTCACTGCAGTGACATCGACACCCGGCGAAGCTTATGACATTAATGAACACGAGCAAAACCATATTTAATCATTACGCGACTTTTAACCTAATTTATCGCGTCGCAAGTTAGTTTATTTGCTGAGCTACTCCACGATGTTTTAATTTAAAAGCATTTATTTTATGTATTCGTAGTCATACTTCCGTACGTAATATAGTCATTTGACAGTACATGTCAGTCAAATTTATTGTGGCATGCTTATGTATGGGAGGGGTTACACTTATCTGTTGTACTGTATATTATTGCATCCTGGCAGTTCCTTTGATCCCTACAATATGGACTTCTCTATGTTTTTAATTCATTCATTTATTTTATTATTTAACTTATTTTCATTTTAAGGCATTTTAAATAAAATCCTTTAAAAAGTTATAATAAAATGCATGTTTAAAACTCATAACATATATGCATGTAAGATAACAGGTGTCATTTGCCTAATGATTTTTAAATATTAAGGCAAAGAGACATAAGATTAATGTGCTTATAACGTGCTTATACTGACACCTACTGGCACATGTCACAAGATCACTGACACTGGCATGTGTCACTGACATTACTGGCATGTGTCTAAAAAGAGCCACTTGACAATAATGATGATCAGAGTTACACATAGGCTGTTAATATATTTGGGCCCAGGGGCCCACAAAATATGTGTTAAAAGTGCGTTGCATACCCACCCCTACTCACCTCACGGGCAAGGAAAAAAAGTTCAGGCTCAGGAATTTTTTCCACTATCAGCCCTGCATTGGGGGAACTAAATTAGCTCCTACCTCAGAGCAGGGTCTAATCCAGCACAATAGGGACAACAAATACGAATTACAGTGTTTTTAAGGCAGGGTTTGCCCAAAGTTTTCTTATTAAGGGCCAATTGAGGGCTTTGGGCCGAATAAATAGCAAACCGTACAATAAATTTGCTAAGGGAAATTTGCTAATTTATTGGATATATATATAAAAAAACTAGAAAATGTTGCTTTAAAACATATGAACTAATCCAGTATCATTGTAAACATTTTATAATGAACTTATTTCTGTAAAAACATAAACAATTCCATTTATAACACAATTGAGTTCAATGCTGAATACACTAGTCGAGCTGCTCCTGCCTTGACTTGTGCGTTGTCCTATCTGTCTAGTGACCGTATTTACATTTTAAAAGCCTTATTCATTAACAACATTGAATTGGATCATTTAATTTCAGTTTTTTAGCCCAGCAATAAAACAAAGAAACAAGAGTTTATCTTAAATTTGAAATGACAATGTCTGTCAAAGGCATGCTCTTCCACCCACTCCATCATTCTCACTCTCCTTTCAGATGGGATTGTGGGCCAATTCAAAGGTTACCAAGGGCCAATTTCAGCCTGCAGGCCCTACTTTGGGCAATTCTATTTTAAGGCATTCAGAAGGCTAACATTGGCAGCCCTGTTAAATTTGTATGTTTATGTTATTTGCATTGTGATATTTAATATACCATTATATAATTGGCACTACATGTTGTCATATGTGATTTACTGGGGAGTATCTTGAGGAGTACACTTTGCAGGGCACTCATGACTGAATTAGTTGTGGAGCTTGAGGAGCGGAATTGAGAAATGACTTATACATAGGGCTGCACAATTAATCGAAAAAAGATCACAATTTCGATTTGACCCTACACACAATCTTAATTGTGGTTTACTACAATTCTGCCATTTATATTTTCAAGGTCAGGAGAGAAGCATAAAAATGGTGGCACAAGTCTTCACATGGTTGTAAATACTTTGCTCAGCAACGTGGACACCTCCAAACGGTGTTAAAAGCGTCACATACTGCATTTATAAGGTATAATTCACCCAAAAATTTCATTTCTGTCTTAATGTAATGATGCAGTCGCAAAATAACACGAGCTGACACACTGTTTGTCTACCTCAGCAGAGTGGAGGATGAGGGGAGGTTTGTTTCTTTAATAAACTATGACATTTTGTGTAAGAATGATTAATAAATCCTCATGAAAAAAGTGGCGTCTTTAGTTTCGCACTCAGGCATGTGCACTTACACTACAAGCGTACCGGACCAAAGCCCAACTGAACCACACTGTGGCAAACCTCTTCCAACAGGGCCAGCTAACTTAACCATGCCTGCGTGCGATTTGGAGCACTCACACCCAGGTACGGTTTGGATAGCCTATAGTGTGAGTACACCTTAAGTCGTCCAAATGCGTTTACATAGCATTTTCCAAGATCTCATATTGCACCTTAATTAATCTTTTTGCCCAAAAAAACTTGTCTGTTTTTTGACGTAAGATGGATGTGAACCTATAGCAGAGATCCAAAATTATATTACAAACTTTTCAATTAGCATAATATTTTGAATAGTGCTGGGCAAAAATAAATCATGATTGATTAAAAAAATAAAAGTTTATTTTGAAAATGTAAGCATGTGTACTGTGTATATTTATTATAAGTATATATACACACACACATGCATGCAAACATTCATTCATTCATTTTCTAATAAGAGGATAAGTCCGCTAACCTTATCCAGCAAGTTTTTACGCAACGGATGCCTTTCCAGCCGTAACCCATCTCTGGGAAACATCCACACACTCATACACTACAGTCAATTTAGCCTACCCAATTCACCTGTACCGCATGTCTTTGGACTGTGGGAGAAAGCGGAGCACCCGGAGGAAACCCACGCAAACGCAAGGAGAACATGCAAACTCCACACAGAAACGCCAACTGAGCCTAGGCTCGAACCAGCGACCTTCTTGCTGTGAGGCGACAGCACTACCTACTGCGCCACTGCTTCGCCCGCATGGAAATATTTGTGAAAATTTTTAAATTTAGTGATAACATTTAAATGTATATGATACAAATTATATATAAATTTAAATATCTATTTAACAAATTTGTTTTGTATAGTTTTGTTTCTATGTATGTGTGAATCCCATATACACTATAATTATGTCAAAAAAAAATTGGATGCGATTAATCACTGTTAATCTTTGCCCAGCACTAATTTTAATGTATAACTATCCAAATAAACATTTGGAGGCATGCTACATGTTTTTGATATTAAGAACACTTGGAAGAAATTATTTAGCTTAAGTACAAACCTTTCCAGTCAAGACATCATTGAAAAGGCAAATGAGATCATCTTTGAGATTGTTTTGTACGCTTTCCATGAGGCTGTAAGCCCATTCTCCTGCTTTATCTTTATACTGTTCCACAAGATAGCTGTGAAGAAACGTCTGCAGATCTCTGGGGTCATCATTCTTTGATGAAGAGAAATGTGTGGAGAATCAAACACTCATATCTATCGAACGATAAATCAAATTAAGAAAGAACATTCGTATACCATACCTTTTCATTATCCGCCATTTTGTTTCTCCATATTTCTTTTATTACCTTAATAACATCTGCTTTCTTGAGCTTAAGATTTTTAAGTTTCCCCTCATATCGCAGATAAATGGGCACGTCACTGGATGTTCCCTGTCAAAACAACTTTAATTAAACCAAGCAAAGATGGTACAATTGTCTCCAATGCTAAATATGTGAGGTTAAAAACACTTACAAGTCCAGTGAAGAACTGATTTTGGCTATTAATCTCCTTCATCAAGATCTCCAGCCTCTTTTGGCTGGACTGACCTTCAAAAAGCTCTTTACATCGCTCAGTCCCTCCGAGTATATCTATAGCCCATATTGCATAATTACCATCTTGAACATATGCTCAGATGTGCTATATAAAGAAGGCAACATCTGGCTTATGACTACAGAAAATCTGTATGGTAAGTTCAGAAATTGATACCTGAACACTGTTCCCAGTTTGGCCTGGGAGTTGTGGCAATGTGTTGGCTATCTGAGCCATGTTGCTGTGTAGTCGGTGCTGACTGTTGATTGGAATAATGTATGAGTTAATGATCGTTTTTTTGTCATTATTAGACCTCTTTAAAGCCTTCCAGCTCATTCTCTGTATGACAATACCTTTTGATGAACCTCCAGCAGTGTGTCATATTCAGACTTCACCTGGTTGAAGTCTGTTTGTAGGGTTTCCAGCTGAAATAAGAAATCATGAAATATTATTGTAAAACAAACACATATTGCAGTCATTATTATGATCTTCAGTTTACATCTGCCTCTTTAGAAAAGATGTTTAAGAGTCATTCTTTTTGATTTGTTTATAGATTAAATGATAGGTTACAATTCAAACATTTGGTGTGATTTTGAAAACATTTTATGATCACAAAACTGCATTTATTTTTGCAAACATAAAATCAAAATGTTTCAGAAATTGTACAATAGGCTGATTATTATTGATGTTTAAGTCATGCTATGGGTAAACAGGTTTATAGAAAGCAAAGTACACATTTGAATACATTTATATCTTTCAAGAATCTTTAATTAAAATAGATTTTGAACAACGTTTTAATTTTAAATAAAATATTTTGTAACAACTGTGTTTACTGTTACACTTAATTAACTGTATGTTATCTTTTATGCAAAAAAGCTGTCATGTATGATGGATATGCAGCTGACAAATCTACAGCATGTGTGTGATGCTATCATCATCTGAAGTGCTTTGAAATGTGCATTTTTATTCAATGTTTGACGTAATTTCAACTAAAAATGTAGATAGGTGGGACATAGACTAGCTCCTTCCCTTTGAAAAAACAGCCAATAGCATTTTGTTTTTATCACAGCTCTGTCAGTGAATGTTTTGAGTTTAAGCGCATCAAATGAAAAGCAAATGTAAAGCATTTTGAAGGGAATGTCAGATACTAGAGAGCATTTGATTGGTCAAGATTTGATAAGAAACTAAAGTATGAGGTGATGTGAAAAAAAAACATTCATCCATTTAGGCAGACGTCACAAATACAAGCTTTGAATGTTAATATTAGCTTTATATTTTCTAAATGCAAATTTTAGAAAAATATTTAAGTGCACACTACCTTATAGATATCCTTCAAACTAACATACTGATTCTAACATTCATTAATCAGTCCCGAATTATTATAGTTATTAATCTGGGGTCGCCACAGCAGAATGAACCGCCAACTTATACAGCACATTTTCACGCAGCAGATACCCTTCCAGCCACAACCCATCACTGGGAAACATCCATTCACACACACACACACACACTACGGACAATTCAGTTCATCCAATTCACCTGTATCACATGTCTTTAGACTTGTGGGGAAACCGGAGCACCCACACGAACGTGGGGATAACATGTGATTCTGACATATAAAAAATATTTGAATTTCACATGACCTATAAGGAATGATTAAAGCCCTTTCAGGACCTATGCCATTCAGTTCTGAAAGCAAAAGGGGTCCAATTTGGCATAAGGAAGATGTACCAAGAACGTTGCCAATAAGTGTACATTTCTATAATATGTTTCATATCAATTGTTCCCATACCTTCATTAGCGTCTCCTCATGCAAGTGATTCAAGTTGTCCCAATCTCGTCGAGGGACCACATCACTGTATTCAGCTTGAAGGCGGTTGAGTTCAATCTGGGCTTTGGTAAGATCTTCTCGACACACCTGTAAAGCCATTTTCACCACCACAGGATCCTCAGACTCATCCTCTGAGAAGAACAAGTTTCTGTCAAAACTCCTGCTCCTCACTACTAAATCTTCAACCTCATTAACACAAACATTCCAATAAAACACTCTCAAGTCTTACCAGACAAGCTACTCTAGCTTCAAGTACAGGTTGTAATGTGCTTTCATCTTGACTACCTGCTACCTCTACAGAAACTCCAGCATAGCTAATATTCAATATAATCTAGTAATCTGACTTCACGCCCATTGGCAGAATCAGATCAGGAAAAGCTGGCTTTTATTCCACTTTTTGTACAGTATGCCAGTCACTGTTAATATTGTAAGTACATTTACATTTAGCAGACACTTTTGTCCAAAGTGACTTCCAATTGAGAAGGCATTCAGCAATTTAACAAGAAGAGGCAATACACACAAGAAGTGCTAATTATAAAAAAGAACTGTTAGTGATCAGAGAATTAGGTGTTAGAGTAAGTTTTTTTTTTATATATATATATAAGAGAAGAGTGTTTCTACAGGTGGTTTGTCAAGCCCACTTACCTGTGTGACGCACTTTTTTTGTAAGAACGTGTCTGGTGCAAATGTGTAAAACAGGTGCAAGTGCCCGTTAAAGTGTCAGGGAGATGAAACAATTTGTTTTCTACAGGTGGTTTGTCAAGCCCACTCACCTATGCGATGCTCTCTTGGGCTCATTGAAGTCCAGATGAGCTGCAGTGTTCTGGATCATTTATAGAAGTTTAGGGGTGCAAGACGGGAGTCAAGCTAGAGCTACTAACTAGTCTAGCTAATAACTTAGACATGTGAAAGCATTTATATATAGCTTCTTTTCTACTTGCATGCAAGTCCCTTTGGATAAAAGAGTCTGCTAAATGAATAAATGTAATTGTTAACTGTAAATGTATCAAAAAAATTAAGCTATAAATATATAAAAATAATAAACTTATCTATAAATGTAGAAAATATGGCATAACATGTAAAACTTTGCCTACCGTCACACCTCTGCTCAAGTCCTTATATTGATACATAAATTCAAATAGTATTTTGTTTTCATGTTTATTGTTTTTTTTCAGACTCCACTATTAACGTAACCTTCATTATTATCATCATGTTCGGCATCTTGGGTAGATTGCATTGTGCTGATTCTGGTGATGAGCAGCTTTCGTGCATCACGTTCGTCCCTGTAGAGCTGATACTGGGTGGCTAGATCCTCTTTTAGATGATCAACCTTTGGGGAGAGATGAGATAATCATGATGTAGTGTTTTATCATGTCTTCTGTTTGCTTTAATAAAGCAGCAGCACTGTGAATATTATAAAATAAGTATTGGATTAAAAAAAAAATTAAGGTTAAAGAGTTATTTCTTCCCAAATTTAAAAATTCTTCATTTACTTACCATAATGTTGCTCCAAACCCATATGGAATTTGTTCAGAGCATTTGTAAAGACATTAAGCAGTTTAATTCAAGTCTTTGCTTTGTATGATGAGCAGATTTCATTTTGGCTTAAATTATCTTTATGAATATTTGAAGCATCAGTTTTGAGTTTTACAATGTAAATAAAAAACATTTCATACTTAGTTTTTTTGTCTCGTAATCCAAATTCTAGTACAAATAAAATCTTAAATCAAGAAGCATTTTCTTGACAAGTTAAAAAAATATTGTCTTGTTTTCAGAAATAATATCAAAATTATTTTTAGAATTTTAATTTAATTTTAAGAACAAGAAAAATAATGAGCCAATGGGCTAAGAAAAATGTTGCAAAAATTATTTAGCTTGACATTATTTCTGAAAACAATAAAATATGTTTACTGGTGTAGAGCTTCTTGACTTAGAAACTTTTAAATATTTGGACTATAAATAAGAAAACAACTCTAAGTAAATATTTTTTTTTTGCAGTGTCGGTGAAAAGACTTTCAATGGCGGGACAGACATCTGTTTGGAACAATATGACAATATAATATAATAATTATTATTATAAATTATATAATTATTTGGGGTGACCTAACCCTGTAAATTGAATTTATAAAGTTACTAAATCTGAAAACAAAAAGTATTTAAAAGAAAAACATCAACTATCCATCACAAAATTACCTAATTAAAGCCAAACATCTGATTAACCACACAAATTCAAAGCAGGCATCTAAATCTGAATAATCCAAAGTAACCAGATCTCTACAGAAGAACAGAGTAAAATAATTTAAAGTAAACTGAGCTCCACCTGAATCTGCAGAGCACTCTGTTGTGACCTCATGCTTTCAATGACGCTCTGCAGATGCCTGCACTCTTGCTTCAGAGCTCGAACCTCCTCTCTTTCCTGTACTCTCATTTCCAGAATCTTCTTGTCACATTGTTCTGACACGAGCACCAGCTTCGGCCGTAGCGGTAGCAGATCCCTGATCTGATCTCGCAGATGTGCTGAGAGAGACATTAGCACTTCGATTAGTGTCTAAAATGAAATAGTTAACTGAGTTTCATTGGTATTTTATTTATTTGTGGAATTAGATTTCTTTATTTTGCTGCAACATTTTGTGAAACTATTTCTTTTTGTTAAATTGATTTTAAAATAATAATACCAATGGAAATGGAGATAGCCTGCTTACTCAAATATTTGATTGAACATTCCGAATGTACATACCTAATGTGATGTCATACTCCTTTTTGATGGCAGACAAAATAGGCTTATAGGTTTTAAATTCTTCAATTAAATGGCCAAAGACTTCTTGGTAAACCTTTATAAAGCAAAAAGGGTAAAATAGCAGAAAAATAAGGGGATTTAGTGTTTTCTTCAATGTATAACTCTTGAAAAGTTTGGGGTCAGTTTGATTTGTTTTATAAATTATTTAATTTCTTCCTAAAAAAATAAATAAATCTATTTTAAACTGCAAAAAAATGATTTTCTTAAATGTTTGAGAGGGATTTAAACAGAGGTATCTCTCCAAGGGGCTAAAACTGAGCCAATTCCAATGGGTGCGGTAGAGTTCTTATGTATTTATTGTGTTGTACATGACACTGAGTCCAATGTTGTGCTTTATGAATGTCTACACCTCCCTCTACCCTAAACCCAACTTTACAATAAATTATGTTTTATTAACGTCTACACCTCCCCTACCCTAAACCCAACCTCAAAGTATCCTGATGTGGTTTATTAATGTCCACTCCACCTATACCACTTAAACCCAGCCCACCTATGGCAAATTTCTCTCCTACTTGGAGGTCACCCATCCTACTTGTGGCGTAATTCCTACCACTAGGAAGTCTCCGGGCTGCAGCGATACCTTCTTGAATTTGAATCTTATTTCTAGTCAAAATCTCTAAAAATTCTTATATCAAGAAGCATTTTCTAGACAAGTCAAACATATTTTCTTGTTTTGAGAAATAATATGTCTAAATGAAGTGAGTTTTTCCTTAAAACAAGCAAAATAATCTGCAAATGGGATACGTAAAATAATCTTATGTCAAAAGAAACAACAAGTTTATTTTGCGTACACCATTGACAAATTATTTTGCTTGTTTAAAAAAATCTCACTTCATTTTGACATGTTTATTCTTAAAACAAAACAAAACAGTGTAATTGCTTGTTTAAAAAAAAAACAGATTTTGTACTGGAAACAAGTAAAAAAATTCAGTAAAAAAGCATTTTTTGCAGTTTACATGAAAGTCAAACTTCTAAAATGTTCAACTTCAATTAACAATTAGTTATTTCAATAGACAATGTTCTTTTAACTATGAACCACATAATCTTGGGGAGAAAAATAATCAATGTATTTTTGTTTCCATATTTATTTTTCAACTACAACAATCATTCCGCATACAGTATAAGAATGATTTCTAAAGAATCATGTGACACTGAACATTTGCTTTCACCCCAAAGCCTTGAACTGTGTTGTTTTGTTAAGAAAACCAGTTTGATGTAAGAAGTTTACCTGCAGTCTGAGCTCTTGGACTTTAGAGTCCTGTGTGTTGTCTAAAACTTCTAGTTCTCTCTTGAGAAGACACTCCAGTTGCTCTAAGAAACGAGGCTTGGCAAGAGACCTGCAGGACATGAAGATACCATCAGGACCAAGGCACTGATATTCAGAACTGACTGAAAACAAAAGAATATGACTAAACATTGTAAAATTATGAAACTATTGTTAACATGAACACATATGCTCTATGTGGAATTCTTGCCATACCCATAATTTCTTATTTGTCTGGGCTTTTGAAATGTAACTTCAGCAGGCTCAGATGAAAAATAACTCTTTTCCTTCTCTTTGGTCTGCTGGAAATGGAGTGATTTGCATTAATACAATATACATTCACCAGCCAATATATTAGGTACACCTGTTAATCTTGCTTGTAAATGTAAATAGCTATATGGGACATAAATGTTTATGGCATATAAGTGAACATATATGTTTCTGACATATATGGGACGTATATGTGTTATAAATGTAGAATACATATATGTTTTTTGGCATATATGTAAACGTGTTATCAGGGATGGGCAAAAATACATTGAAATGTATTTTGAAATAAAATACAAAATACCTTAATTTTAATAAACTACAAAATACAGCAGCCACAAATGCATCAAAATAAAATACTGTACTTTGTATTCTGAAAATACTACAAAATATTTTTCCATGAAATTTCGTCGCAAACCGTTAATCAATAGGCATATTTGATCAATGCCTTCACCATTAAACTGATTTTCTTTTTCATTTTAGCATAAATTTTGTATAATTATTAGTGTTCCTGTCTTGAAGATGTTCGCTTTAATCGCTGTAAAAAACATGTAATGCAGATGAGATGAGTATATACTACTATATCTCTTCCAACAATCTCTTAACAGTCTTATATTTTTAAAGGGATATATATGTAGAGATTGTTTTAATTTTTTGTTCAATAAATGTAGTTTTTTAGCAATTGAAATCTTCAATACATAATGTAAAAACATGATTTACGAAAACTATTGAAATCTCCAGTTTTAGTCATTTCCATAAATCATGTTTATTGCATTTGTACTCTTCAATGCACAACATAAAACATGATATCTCTAAAAAACTGAGTTATCTCTTTTTGCAAATAAACTAGATTGGAGTATTATTAATTATTGGTGTCTGATATACTGCATTGTGCCACTTTGACATTTCTTCATTAACTGTACACTGCATCTGCAGATCATCTACTGGCATTTAAAACAGCCAATGAAGTATTGTAGGACTTGCCACTGTAGGAGTTATTTGTATGTTGTTTGTCCTACTTTCTTGGCATCGAATCAGCAAACCATTCAAAACTACTATTATCTGTACAGTATACTCATTCTCCCAAAGGTTTCTCAGTTCCTCTTTAACTGGAAGAGTCCCAGATTGCCCCCTTAGTGAATACCATTACATCGTCTTTAGGTGTTTTATATTTCTAATCAACCTCTGCATTTCAACCTGCAGCACTGAGATTGAGAATGATTATGTGCTGTAGGCTCCACATTCTGTTTTTAATGACTGATATTTTATGCCATCTCATTTCTTAAGCAAAGATGCTGATGACAAAATGTACACTATACTGCCATTATATATTACTGGTCTAGGCATTGTGCAGTATACTATTTTTAATGATTGTTGACTTGTTTTGAAATATACACAATGCCATTTGTCTCTTGTTTTTTTTTTTGTGTGTGTTGCATAATTTTCATCCCTACTCCAAGCATTGACCACCTTCTTAATCAATTTTCTGTTCTGATTTCAAGACCAGGCCACATTTTTATGATGTGATCATATACTTCTTACAAAGTATTTTACAGTATTTTAAAAATACAAGACACTAAAGTATTTTAATAAAGAAAATTAACCCATTTTCATATACCCAATAAAATACAAGTTATAAAATACTATTTGGTATTTAAAATACTAATTTGAAATACATGAACCTTAAATACTGCCCATCCCTGTATATATATTACAACCGGGATAATTTAACTTGCAAATTCATAACTTACTTTTATCAATTTTGCTCTAGACATCTTGTTTGCAATGTGTCGCTGTAATCCTCTATTGTTGTCATCATTAGACTCAAATTGAGACGATGACCTAGAACAGAAGACAGACAACTTGGGTATTTGAGATGCTGTGACTTTCGATAACACACAATTTCTATGGCTTTTATAGATGGTAAAATTTGTCTCATGTCTACTTTATTATTCCAAATAACTTTCGTAAGAAAATAAAATAAAATATAGTTAAAACGGTGTTCTACTTTCATTCATGATAACGTATTTGTGCAAAAAAATAAACTTATTCTGTTTCTCACCTGTACTTATTTAAATGTATAAAAATGATAAGTCGTCCTGCTTATTTATGTTACATTATAAATAATTGGCGTTACTTTAATGCTTTTGGTTGACAGATGAGTAAGTTTACTTTCTTTATTGTCCACAAGTGGAAATTTATCTTTGGCTTCACCACACAACCACATCAGCGTTCATATTACACACATCACAGAAAAAAACAGGCAGCACAAATTACATTCAATGTCATCACATAAATCACATTAAAACGCAATTTAAAGCCCTATACATACTTAAACCCCAGTATTTAAAAATCTAATGGCAGTCGGCACAAAGGACATTTGATTCACATTTTTCTTTACTTGAGGTTGCCTAAACGTCTTTTTGATGACAAGAGCTAAAATTTTATATTTAAGGGATGGGAACAATATTCAGTAATGACGTGTGCTTTCTGTTTAACTCTTATTGAATACATTTCATTTGGTTGTCTTTGTGCTTTACCTACAATTGCACTGGCAATTTTTACTTCTCAACACAGTTTTTGCTTTTCCTTAATTGGCAACAGTCCATACCATGCAGTCATGTTAAAACTCACAACACTTTGAACTAAGTTCTTGTATACCATCTCCAGAACATCTTGACTCACACTAAATTGTTGTGACCTCCTAATAAGACATAATCTCTGCATTGCTTTTTTTAATGCTCTCTGCATTTGCAGCAAATGTTAATCCACTATCAATAAATGTTCCTAAATATTTAAAACATATAACTGTCTCTATTTCATATCCCTCAAGGACCAGAGGTTTCAACCCTTGACTAAGGACTAGTTAATTTCTGCTAATTAACAGTGGTTTAAATGGTGGTTTAAAGGGTAACGGCGATTGGCGAATAAAAATAATTAAAATGACAAATATTTACTGCTTTGAGGCTGCACTGTGATCATTAATCATAAACTTTTTAACTTGTATCATCAAATATTTGTGTTTTTTTATGCTTGATATGTTATTTGCTATTCCTCTACTGACGTCTGCAGCCTTATTCGGACAACAGTCCTTCGATTTTAGTTTAGCGTACTTTAGTTGTGTATACGTCTAACCTTGAGTGTAGCAGCGGGGGCAGCTGTAGATCTTTTACTGCCATCTGGACGAATAAATAACTTTTGAATATTTCGCAGCAAATATAATATCATACGTCCAACCAAAGCTTCAGCGGCGTGGCATTGTTGTTGTTTGAGGGGTGGTTGCTATGATACTGAAGGACCCTAGGAAAGACCTCCTACTTATAGATGCCTTTGGCGTGCCTGTAATAAACAATAACATAACCTGTCGTCTAAAACGCCATATGTGTGACGGAATTCGTTTACATTTGTTAATATATAAATGTAACATTTTTTACATATTTATACTTTTTAAACGAACTGGTATGATATGACCAATATTTATATGTTTTTCTCACGGCGGTGCACGCTAAGACTATTGGATTACAGCACAGCATGTCTTGTTTTTTTTTGTTTTTTAGACTCAAGAGTGCTTAACTTGTTGAACAAAATGTCTTAACGAGTGATCGAAGGGGTATATGTTGTTTATATCCATATTTAGTAACTATCTACATATAGATATAGTGTTTGCATAAAATATTTAAAATTGTTGTTATGACTCGAAAACAAGCAATATTGCTTAAATGAGTAAAGGAAAAGTACTGCTTCACTGACTTGTTTAGGTATGGGGATTAGATGAAGACCGTTACATAAATATCCGAGAGTGTCCAAATTAAACGACAGATGTGTATTTAAACTGTTATCTGCATCAAACGTGTGAATAAACGGTACTGTACTGGGTCACTTGTTCGAAAACAGATGTTTTTACATCGTACAAATCAACCATATGTGCTCAAGCGCTAAAATTACGAGTTGTGCTAAAAACTACAAATCCTACACTGCGCTGTGCAGCCCCGGTTGAATTAGGTATGGGTCATGTAGTTGATGGCACTTCCCTCATGTGAGCGGTGTACACTGCGCAGGGCTTTGTGTTCAACTACAGTACCCACACGTCACTGTCGAGCGGCTGTTATCCGGGGATATCTCTCGCTGCTGCTGCTGCTGTGTTTCTCCTAGTCTAGCGCTCTCTCCTTTTTAGCGGATTGGCACAACAGGGTAGGATTACTAGAAGGAATACAAAAACATAGGCAAAAAAATGGCAGAGCTTGGAGCGGGGAGCCTGCTAACAGGAGATCCTGCTTTTAATTACCAAGAGCATGAGCTAAACGAGCGTTTGAAGCGGCTGTACCCGGCCGTGAATGAGGAAGAGACCCCCTTACCCCGATCTTGGAGCCCCAAGGATAAGTACAGCTACATCGGGCTCTCACAGAATAATCTGCGGGTGCATTACAAAGGTATACAGATGTGACACACGCTGAACTGTCAACCCGTAGGCCTTGACAATCCCTGCTGGTTGTGTATGTGCAATCTCCCCGATCTAGTTTGAGCTGCTTTTTCCGTCCCCTTATGCTTTGTTGCATAGAAGGAAAGAGGAATGTCCAAATGGGTTGACATTTAGCAAACCATCATGTCAGAATTCGACTAGCTAGGGTAGCTTGTGGCTGGGGAGTCTGACTTTTGGACGCCTATTGCCATGTCAAGAACATCAAGTGTTATTGGTTTACTAAGCTTATGGTTTGAACTCTGTTTCGGTGAATTAGTCTAGGCTCGGGCTAGCTAGCCACGGCAGGGCAATAAGGGCAGCTAAGCTGCTACACCATCGCAATGAATCGCATATTGCTTGTTTAGTTTACACCGCATTGCATAAGTCTATTTGTTAACCGCTATCCGACGTTTTACATAAAGACGCGCTTCGCGTGACAACGAAACGAATGTTATTGTGCGATGTTGATACACGGACATGTTTTTATTTGTGTTGACGAACATAATCGAGTTGTTTCGAATCTTGGCGAATCGTTTGAATCGCCAAATTCGCGACAATGGTTAAGTCGAATTCCACAAGACTGTCTTGTTTAAACAGTTGTGGCGTTTCGAATGACCCAGCGAGTCTCCCTCAGGGGGTCTGTGAATTTACCCACTGCAGATGTACTTTTAATGTATAACATTTATGTACACGTTTCTGGATAATAAATCACGAATAAGCTATTTTAAGAACTACCACCAAGCATCTATCTATAGGCGTTTATTGAGTATGGCAAATATCAGATAAACTATTTTATTGTTCTACTCTAACAAAAGATAAGCATGGATTTATTACAGTACAACTGTTGTAACAGTTTTTTTTATCAGATTGATTACCTTTTATATAGTTTTTTACCACAAATACAATGGGTAACTATTGTTAGCATATACAAATCATTGTTAATTTAACTCGGTTTGAATACAAAAGTGCTGTTTTTCTTTTTTTGTAAAACCATGACTAATTTCTTAATCATAGTACTTTAGGTTTGATTACAATAGAGTCATTTTAATTTCAGTAGTTAGACATTAGACTGTCGGTCATTCCAGTAGTGACCAGTATCTGTTTAATTAGCCTCTAGTACTTATTTATTATTTACTAGTATTTATTCCTTTGTCACTAGTCACTGTCCCAGTAGTGCCAAGTAACATTCTCTGTTGCTGGTAACTTATTGCTTTTTTTTTGCACTGAATTATATGATAAAAATAGTATGTGGTTCAGATACCAACTATTAATTTCCAACTAGTATTAAATGTAATATATAATTGTCATTGTGTATTCCTTGTTTTTAGCAATAGTTAAATACTTATTTCTTAATACTTAGTTCTGTTACCTATTCTTTACTTAGTTTTTACTACAAAATGTCTACTATTAATTCCAGTTTAAAATTGAATACACAGTATATGCTTTTACGAAACACTAGTGTGTGTTAAACCTGTACCTGATTTTCTGCCAAGATATTATCTGTTAATTTTGCATACATGCGCATTATCCCTAAACCAAGTAAGACCTAATAAAGTGTGTCAAATCATTTTTAATTGAGTTAAAAGGAAGCTCTCCTGACTAGTCATTAAAAGACTATCACTTTAGTCTGGTGACATGCTGTATCTTAATGACAATGAGCTCTTTTGTTGTAGCATGTGTGTGAATTATTAGTTTTATAAAAAGGCTTTATTGTTTTGCCTGACAGATTAGTGAAACATTACATATTATATGGCTATTTTTAGATTTTTCAATGAGGTTGCGTTTCCATGTGTACAATACTCTACAGTTTGATGGTGCCTTGTGTGTAGATCATAGCTGTTTGCTGTCTTACATGATATACATTGTATTTGACAGCTGTCAGATAGACAGTACGTTTGTGTGTCAAAGCTCAGGCCCAGTGTGTCCAGTCCACCCTCTTTGACAAAACAATGAACAAACAGCTGCATTATTTCTGTAATCTACACTGCTTTGTGTCTGTGGAAATTCGTACCCCATTGCTAACTATCTTCTTTCAGGCTGTGGCTATGTTTACCACTTCATATGCCTGCCGATGTTGGCCAGGTTTTTGCTTTTTAGAAGTCAGATGATATTGATATACCGCTATTGATTCCTTTTTCTTGTTGTTAAGGATCTGTGTCTTTTTTTTGTGCAGTCAGCCTGACTGTTTTGCTCCGTTTATCCTCAAAGCAGGATTGCAGTGATTAGATTAGGATAAAAAACAAAGGCTTGTTACTATAATCTGCTATCACAGACATCTTGTAGCAAATATATTTAAAGCACTCTGCTTAAGAAATGATTTAACCCGCTGTCTGTTAACCTTCAGTGCTATTCTGGCAAGTGTGCCAGATTTGGTTTCTGAAGACCGAATTGGAGTCTGTCAAGTAAAAATAGATATTAGCCATGATGTTTATGGTGCATTACATTAGCTTATGTGGCTCTCGGCCTTTATTTAGGCAGCATGTAAAAAGTAATACTCTTTTGCATGATAAAACGAGGAGGAAAGACAGCGGAGGCTTCTTCTCTGTCATTGTTTGCAATAAGGACCTCATTTTACTCATCATCACGCTGACAAGGACATGAGCTCTTTTATAAACGGAGGTGAAAATGTGACTTTTGCAATTGTACACACGTACAGATTGTTTTACACCACCTCTTGTGAGAAGATTAAAGCTAGATAAATGGATGTAAATATAGAATAAGCTTGCGCATACTGATGGGCTACTGTCTGTTCTCTGTGCGCAGGCTGTTGGACTCAGTGTTTCCTTTAAGCTCATTGTACTGTTTGCCTATAGAGGGCTTTTGCCTGTCTGAGGAGCCAATCATGCATGTTGAGTCGCTGCGGTGACATCATCAGATTGTGTTCGTTTCCCTGTGGTGTCTATGTGAAGCTGTGAAAGCCTGTTTGCTAACACTAGCACCGCACTCCCAATCTTCCCTCCCCGTGTCTTTGTTCTCTCATATTTTTTTTGTATGCCTGCTTAGCTGATGTTATTATGGGTGCCAGCTGTAGGCTCCTCAGCTTCTGCAATTTCTCCTTAGATGTTTTGACAGAGAGACCCTTAAAAGTACGAAAAGCAGTTTTACCAGATCGCAGTGGAATTCTGTGATGTTGATTATTTTGTGTGTGTGAGAGTGTATGAAGAATGAAGAAAATCTGCATTGCCCCATCCATTTGCTCCCCTTTTATTTTCCTTTATTTGATTTCTCTTTAATTTACCAGTGTATTCTGACCAGAACTTTAGCCCATAAACGAAACAAGAGAAAAAACAAAACATTAACATACATTTTACTTTATTTTTTGCGTTTTCTGCATTTTTTTCAAACTATGTTTTCCCATTATGATGTTTTTTTTTAAAGATTATAAATATAGAAAATTAGAATGAGCCTAATGTTTTTTTAATACCTTTCAATGTTGTTCAAAAGTAATCTTACACAACAATAAAACACAAACTTAAAAAAGAGGGATTTCAAACATTTCTTTTTTCAGGCTCCCAAAACACAATTGTCTTGTTAAAAATAGCCAAACATACACACATGCATGTTAGTAAAATAACACTTCTCAGAATCACAAAAAATGTATTGATCTGTTGTATTTTGTTTCAAGAAAATCAGAGTAAATGGATTTTGATTAATTATATAGATTGACTGAAGATCATTTTAAGATGGATAGAGAAAGTTGCATTGTATTTCAAGTTTAAGGCACATTTTCTCTCAAATTAGCTTACAAATACTTTTAGAATGTTAAAAGGTTTTAATATAATAATACATTTAAATTTCTGTTAGGGCTAGGTAG